GTAATTAGATTTTAAATTTATACTTTCATTTGATTAAAATTTAAATTAAGAGGGGGAAAACAAAATTGAGGGGTTATTAAAACTACACGAGACATTTAAGGAGTTTGAAGAGAGAATTTAGAAAACAAATTTAAATACTTACAATTCCTTACGAAACTTAAAAGAGATATTTAGATTTCGTTTCTCACAATTCCAGTTTTCAAAATTTTTAATTAAGAAAAATATTTAATGATTATTTGTTAATTATTTTGATTTTGAATTTGACCAAATTGTTGCAAAATTTATTTAGATCTGATCGATTTAATCTTGTTTATGATTTCATTTAAATTAACTAAATTTTATTATTATTACTATTATTATTTTGTAGATAAACGACATTTTATTTCAAAACATTTGAAATGATTCACCTTATAATTTGTTTAATGATATTAAATTGATAAACATTATATTCAAAATTAATTTTTAAATACTATAAAAAAAATAATCTCATTAAAAATTCTATTTTTGATACTATCAAATAAAAAATTTTAAATAATGACATATGAATTTGGGAGTAAAATACTCAAAATAAGATACCGGAATTCTCGCTCAACTTTCTCTCCCTCGCTCAACTCTCTCTCTCGCTCAACTTGCTCTCCATCGTAAGCCAAACTTCCTTTTCCCTCTCTTCCTAAGTCTTTTTCTTCGGCGAATGCCCCCTTTGTGCATCCGTCGTCACCGATAAAAAAATATAGAGAGAGAAAAAGTTGAAGACGGAGAAAAAGAAATAATAATGAAAGAGAGAAAAATGAAAATGAGATAAATAGAGAAGAGTGGAAGAAGGTAAATACATCACCTAAAAAACTTTTGTTACGAGAAGGATGATTAAAAAACAAAAAAATATCGTGGAGAATGGTTATTCCGTCAAATTTCACATCTTTTAACATCCGCTGCCGAAAGTTTTTCTTTTCCACCCAACCCCGAGCCAGCACGATCGCCATGGATGCTCACTCCCTCCCTTGAAATTCTACGGTCTCACGCTGCCGCTGACGCCGCTCTCAGTGCCGCCCATCTCGCCGTAGCTGCCCTGCAACGCCTCATCTTCCTCGCTAATACTTTTTCTTTCTCTAAGGTAATCTTTCAAGTTGAAACAAATTTTCTCGACATAATTTTGTCTTCTCTCGCTGAACACGGAACCATTGAATGATTAATGTTGTGTTTGGAACTACGTGTTGAATGACCGAGATAGATATTTGTAGTTAATAAAAAATTGAGCATGGATTTGTTGCATCTTCTTGAGTGGTCTTCGGTAATATGGGTTTCTTCTTTTTACAGTGGGTGCTTATCTATATATTCCACAGGCAATTTTCAACTTATCGTTCCGAGCAAGTTTTGCTTTTGCTGGCTAATTCATTTAACCATTTTCTATTTTGTGAGTGACAGAATATTACTTCTCTTCCATTTTCCATATTCTTCTGTATTCCAATTTTAGTTTCTGTTCCTTGCAGCTTTTTCTTTTGCTGGCCCTTTGAGTGGACTTAAATTGGCCCCTATGGTATTTGGCAAGTCTGCCTGCAAAGGTGGCTAACTTTTCCAATTACTTCATGTAATTTCTTGGTCATCGGGTCACATGTCAAAGTGCACCACAAAAGTTTTGAATTTGATATAAGTTTCTTATTTAGACTCTAATGGATTCTTACTCTGCTCGATTGTTCCAAAGTGCCAGTTTTTGACCTTGCTTGATATATGCCTTTGATAGGATTGCTATTGGGACAAAATTGGGGATATTGTTAGGGTATTAAGAGTATATTAGTAATTAGTTTGAGAAATTGTTAGGAGATTTGTTATACATAGAGTGGGTGGGAAAAGATTTGAGGTAGGCAATTGTTAGTGTGATTTAGGCTCGAGTAAGAATACTCAACAGGAGGGTCCAAGTACCTCGAATTACTTGGGATTCATTGTATTGTTCTATCTTTTATATGTCAATATATTTCTAGTTGTTCAAGTTCTATCAGCCTTATGAGCAACCGATTCCTTATTCCACGTAGTGTTACCCATTACCATATCTCATGCCTTCAAAATCTGTGTTTTGATGTTCTTTTCTGTTATCCCATTACATTTTTTCTATGATAAAAATATCTTCTCTTATCCCTCTGCCATAAATTGATTTTCTTAGCCAACCAACGAACCATTTAGTATAAGCCTTTTAAAGTGGTTGAACAAGTTACAGGAAGGGATCATGTGTTCAATCATTTTTAGTGTCCCTGAAGCTGGTTTCAACTCATCCTAAAATCAGTATGATTGGCGTTGGACTAACTGAGTTAGTGTCAAACATACAAAATTGTGGAGATAGTACCACAACCTATAATGTGTGTTTGAGCACGTGTATCTCTGTTTTATTTTTAGTAGACATTTTACGGGATCTCTCTTTTTTATGGTCATGATAATGATGATCAACTTGTCGAAATTGCCGAGGTAATCGTAATATGCACCTAGCACAGTGAGGATGCTTAACTAGTATCATCATAATTGCTGGAAAAAATATTTCTTAACTAATATGTTTCATGTTCTGTCTGATTTTCATGTTTAAATTTCTCTATACAAGTTTAAGATGCTCCAAGTATGCAGTAAAAGCCTTGACATTGTATTATTTTTAGTTTTCCGTATTTTGTTCATAGTTTTTTGTACGAGTAATTTTATTGAATTTTGTTTTGTTTTGTGTGTGCTTATTCTTCTAAGAGATTGATTACGTAATTAAAGTTGTATGATTGTCAATCTATTCAAAGGCCACGTGTCATTTATCTCCTTAGACATACCAAATTTCATTGTTCTGGAAGGTGATTAATTATATATGAAAATTTTATGGGTACTGGAAGGTGATTATATGATTTTCTATAGTGGAGAATTATGTATAATTTTGATGCAGCTTTATGTTATTCTGTTTGATCTATTGTAGTACTAATGGTTTTCTCGACCATTATCACTAAGTCTTATCACATTCGATGTTGTGGTTATTATGAGTATTGCAGTAAGAAAAAGTTGATAATGTTCGATAAGGTTCATGAATAGACGTATTTGTATGTCTATAATGAGATGTTTGATGTTCCACTACTATTTATTATAAAGTTGTTAATGTAACTTTTATATCTTGAACACTTTTTGGAATATGTTCCTCAACACAACTACAACGGGTGAGACGTTGAAGAATTTTGTACTAAAATTGAAGTCTTACTAGTACTTTTATCCTCTGTTTTCTGTTTTCATTAAACACCATAGTATAAAATACCAAAATTTAGACCAAGCGAAAGTACTTGAGAATACCAAAAACCCATCTTCTAATATGGAAATGCACAATAATTATAAGAGGTATGAAACTAATTTGACTGTTCTTGAGAATGTACTTGAAAAACTACAACCATGAACCAAGGAGTAGTTTTGGTATGCTGAAGGAGTTGGTTGCTTCAATTTGAAAAACACAGATGCGCAGAGTACATGTATGTATGAACACGTTCAATTTAGTCAGGACATGTTGTTATGGATTATTTCTTTTTCAATTTTCAGCTTTTAAATTTGTTTATTTTTCTCTCTCTTAATTTCTATCTTGTAGCTGAGGTATGGATATCTATCTTTCAAAATATGTATTTTCCCTTATTTTAGTCATTTAATATGATACCAAATTTGGCTATCTACTGTTGACGCATAGTTCTATAATTATAGACTAAAACTGTACAGTTTTCTGTGTGTGTGATACAAGATAATAACTTTTCTGATGATAAACCTTCATGAGATAGTAGCAGGAATTTGGTTTTGTGGAAGCTGAAGAAAACAAAGGAGGTGGACGAAAGATAGTAAATGGTTAAATTACAAGTTTAGTTCGTAAACTTTCAAAGTTGTCTTTAATAGGTCTCTAAACTTTTAAAAGTGTCTAATAGATCCCAAGTATCTAATAAGTCCCTTCATGTTCAATATTGTGTGTCTAGCAAGTCCTTAAGCTTTCAATTTTGTATCTAATAAGTCCTTGAATTTTCAATTCTGTGTCTAATAGGTCCCTAGCCTTTTTGACATTTTATAACATTGAATCTTGTTCTATATAGACCCTTAACTTTCAATTCTTTGTCTAGTAGGTCCATAAATTTTAAACATGTTTTATAGGTCAGGGGCTATTAGATACAAATTTAAAAGTTTAAAAGCATACTAGACACTTTTAAAGTTCAGGACTTATTAGATATAAAATTGAAAGCTTAAGGACCTAATAGATACTTTTTAAAGTTTAGAGACCTATTAGACAATACTTTGCTTCCTATTTTTCTTTGATGATCTCTCTTGTAACAACACTAGTTTGAGGCTCCATGATGATTAGCCTTCCTTACTCAACGTTGATTTTTGTTGTTAACACATTTTGCTGGTAATTTGATGTTGTTAATTCTTGGATGGCTCTATATATATTAGTTACAT